GACACACGGGCCTAGATCTCTCACACGCACACACGCACACACGCACACGGGCCTAGATCTCACTCACACACACAGACTGTGTTACTAGGTCACTGTTGTGCTGCTCTCAGCAATTCGCCTCTCGACCCGACCCGCAGGGACAGCGCAGCCTCCAGCCCGGAGCCCCCCATCCCCCACGGGACCCAGTAGTCCGGGCTCCCAGCCCCCCCCCCCCCATTGTCTCCCCAGCTCTGGGAGGGGAGTGGGGACTGGTGGTGAGAGCAGGGGGGCTGGGAGCCCATTGGGAAGTCAGTGCTGAAGACGAGCGGGGGTGGTGGCCCGGACGCCGGGGTCCCCAGGGAGCGATGTGTGTGTGTGGGGGGGGTTGCATGCGTGCAGTGGCAGCAGGTGCCGGGGGCGCCGGCAGGACGGGCCGTCACATCGCGTTAGCCGCGCATGGCCAGGCCCTTTCACCGCCAAACATGGGGGGGGTCCGTGCTCAAAGATGCCGGCTCCCTGGGCCAGCCCCCCCACGCAGCCAGTCTTCCCCACAGACCCCCCCCATCCCCTCCATGGCTCCCTGCCCCCCAGGCCCCTCCCACATGCCCCTCTATCGCCCACCCCACCCCCACAGACACCCCCACACATTCAGCCCCCCGACGCCCCCCACCTCGTCGGCTCCTGGCACACACGGAGCCGCAGCCCAGCGACTCCCCACCCCCCACACCGCTCCGTGCCCCCCCCTTCAAAACCATCGGCCCCCAGCCGCTGGCCCTGGTCTGTCGTCCCCCACCCCCCCCCACACTGGACCCAGGAGTCCTGGCGTGTTTAAAGATCTGGAACAAACATTTGTGTATTAGATACGGCCACCTCTGGGGTGGGGCAGCCGGTTACACGGGGACCCCTCGCCCGGTGCTGAGATGCGGCCACCTCTGCGGCGGGGCGGCTGGTGACACAGGGGACCCCTCGCCCGGTGCGGAGATGCAGCCACCTCTGGGGCGGGGCGGCCAGTTACCCAGAGACCCCTCGCCCAGTGCTGAGATGCATCCACCTCTGGGGCGGGGTGGCCGATTACCCGGGGACCCCTCGCCCGGTGCTGAGATGCGGCCACCTCTGGGGCAGGGCGGCCGGTTACCCGGGGACCCCTCGCCCGGTGCTGAGATGCGGCCACCTCAGGGGCGGGCGGCAGGTGACAGGGACCCCTCGCCCGGTGCTGAGATGCGGCCACCTCTGGGGCGGGCGGCAGGTGACAGGGACCCCTCGCCAAGGGTTTGAGATGCAGCCACCTCTGGGGCGGGGCGGCTGGTGACACAGGGACCCCTCGCCCGGTGCTGAGATGCAGCCACCTCTGGGGCGGGATGGCCGGTTACCCAGGGACCCCTCGCCCGGCGCTGAGATGCGGCCACCTCTGGGGGGGGGGAGGGGCTGGTTATCCAGGGATTTTTTACCGGGGGGGAGGGGTTTCCGGTTCTCTCACTTCCTGTCCTACTTGGCACCTGACCCCCCCCCACTTCCACCCCTCGTGTCTGGTTGGGCAGAACAATCATCTGACAAGAATCTGGGTCAGCTCCTCCCTCTCCCCCACCAGGCCCTTCCCCCCACCATGCTCCTGCCCCCCTCCCCCCCGCATCTCCCCCCCCTCCACCCTGCCATCTCCCTTCCCTGCTTCTCCTGGTCTCTCTCTCTTCCCCCCAGTGCCCCCCCAGGGATCCCATCTAGGCCCCTTCGCTCCCCCCACCCACACCAGTAAAAACCCCAACACCCCCCAGGAGACGCTGGGGCAGGTGGGTGATAGCAAAGGGGGAGGGGAGGGACAGGGAGGGAGGGGGAAGGGTGGGAATGGGGAGGTGGGGAAGGGGAGGGGTGGGATTGCGGGTGGGAATGGGGGTGGGGAGGGGCAGGGAGGGGGGGAATGGGGGTGGGAATGGGGAGGGGTGGGAATGCAGGTGGGGAGGGGCAGGGGGGAGGGGTAAGAATGGGGGATGGGGAGGGGCAGGGAGGGAGGGGTAGGGGTGACGTCGAGCCCCCATGAGCCCCCCCTGCCCCCCCGCTGAGCCCCCCCCTTCCCCGCATGGGGGGGCTGCAGCCTCTCTGGGGTGGGGTCGGGGGACGGTTGCCGTGGCGCGGTTGCCAGGGTGCCCGGAAGTCACTGGTTTATTGGGAGACAGTTGCCATAGCGATGGGGGAAAGACCACCAGGGCCTATGATGGGAACCGCGGAGGGGGGGAATAGATGTGTGGGCCCCCCCCCCCCCCGGGCGCCGCGGCCCCCCCCCCCTGGGGCCCTGCTGATTCCAACCGGCCCGTCCCCCCTGCTCCCCTCCCCCTCTTACTGTCCCTCCCCAGTCCTATCCCCTCCGTGCTGCTCCCCCCCGGCCCCCCCACCCGTGACCCAGATGTCAGGAAGCGTCAGCGCCTGGATGTCAAAAGGGAAAATATCCCGGAGCAGACGCCAGGCCCCGGGTTGGGGGGAGGGACTGCTCAGCCCAGCCCCCCCCAGCCCCATCTCGCACGCGCCCTGTCTCGCACGCGCACGCACAAGCATGTGCAGCAGCAGCCGGGGGACGAGGCCTTGTGCCGTCTATAGGGAGGGGGCCAGGTTAGTGTGCAAGGAGAGCGGGCGTGCGAGAGCCTGTGGGTGGCAGAAGAGGGGGCGGTGCCCTGGGCATGTGAGTGTGCGTGGAATGGAGCGTGCAAACGGTTGAATGTCCAGCCTGCGTGCGTGTGTGTGTGTGTGCGAGAGATGGAGTGTGTGAGGGTGTGAACGTGCAACGGGTGGGTTTGAGGGAGCAAATGTTCACCCCGTGTGCATGCCAGGGACCACTCGAGCGTGCGAGGGGCCGAACAGCTCTACCGTGCGTGCAAGAGGGGGATGGTGCATGGGTGTGAGTGTGCAATGGGCCACATGAGTGTGCGAGAGACCAAACAGCCACGCCAGTGTGTGTGTGTGCACCAGCTTGAGCGAGCGGGCCAGGAGGCGTGTGCAGGCCCTGGTCTGAGGAGGGTGAGCAAGAGGGTGTGCAAATGTGTGTGCAAAGGACCAAGTGGCTACGAGTGTGCGACAGAGGCCATGGCCAGAGGGTTGGCGCGCAAAGGTGAAAGGTACCCCAGGCGTGTGCAGGGTAGTGAGTGTGCAAAGAATGAGGGGCATGCAAGGGACTCTGTGTGTGTAAATGCACATGAGGGCCTGAGTGTGTGAGGAACATTTTGGGGAGGAGGAGGGGGCAGTCTGAGTGTGCAAGCAAACCGAGCTATCCCCTTGCATGCCCACCCCTGTTCCACACTCACACCAGTCCATGTGCACACACCCTTGCACGAGTTTCCCCCCGTGCAAGGTGCCTTGGTCTCTTGCACGCTCACCCCCTGACATGCAAACGCCTCCTCTTGAGAGCCTTCATCCCATGCAAACAACCCCCCACCCCTAGGACACAACACTGGACTCGGGGGGGTCACCCCACGACTCCAACTCTGCCCCCAACTTCTCAGACCCTGTGATCCCGGCTGGGAGCCTGCCACTGTCACCCCAGGCATGGCCTCGGGACGGAGTAGGGGGGAGCCCAGGGCTGGGCTGGCAGGGGCTGCAGGTCGGGAGTGAGGGGCACCGGCAGAGCTGGTGGGGGGCAGGGCTGGGCTAGCAGGGGGCTGCGGGTCAGGAGTGAGGGGCACGGCAGAGCTGGGGGGGGGGCAGGGCTGGGCTAGC